TATATATATGTGTGTATATGTCTGCTTGAAAATAGTTCAGCTCGATTAACTGATCTTGCCAATAGCTCTATATTTAAATTCGTTACAAAATATTATCTGACCGAAATTTGCAGTCAAAGCGAATTCTTTTCCATACTTTTATTCGAAGGATTTCTGTTGGATTCTTCCGGAACTTTACGCTGAGTATACTTAATATTTTATTACTAATATTGCCAGTCGCTGAAACCGTGAATCAACACTTTATTTTTAGTTTATTATCAAATTTTTATTACTCCTGTATTTTGGCACTTGGCGACCCGCACATTTCATATTTTCTTTGCAACTATTGAAGCGCATCATTCTTAAAAGCCTTAATATTGTTTCGACATAATTGAACGATATTGCCACTATTCGACGCTTCTCTTTGTCAAACTGATTGACCCTGATCTTGCTATCATCCTTTTATTGCGCTCACGCAGACATAATTTTCACTCCTCTTCCAGGTCAATCATACATCTTGCCTTTTCATTTTATCTTTTTCTATTCTCTTACTTTCGCAACTTCCTAGGGGCTTTGTATGTCCACATACGCTTGCATGCACATATTAATGTATATATGAGTACCTTTATTTACTTAGCTAGATGTGAAGGTCAAATAGGACTATCAAAATCGTCCATATACATTTTTAGCTGAGGTCAAACGTGTCGGTGATATCATGTTTGGTCTAGCCACCCAATGCGTCCAGTCCAAAAACGTGAACAAAACCTCTCCACAGACTCTTTCCAATCTTTGTCTGAAGATCAACGTCAAGCTGGGTGGTATCAATTCAATCCTAGTGCCCGCAGTTCGGCCATCCGTCTTTCGGGAGCCTGTCATCTTCCTTGGCGCCGATGTCACTCATCCACCAGCTGGTGAGTTGGTTGGTTTCATTTCCCGAATCTTTTTCACCTTCATGCATATCTTTTTTCTTGCCTACTTCTGTATTATATCCGCCTATGCCCACTATTCTTGAAGTTTAGATTAAAAAATTGACAATATTTTTCAATAAACTTCTACATCATGCTTTTGATGTTAGTAGTAATTATTGAATAAGAACTTAGTCACTCTGGCGCCATCTCTATATCCTTTTTTAGTTATGAAACTTGAGGGTTTGTTACTTATTTTACACTGGTTATAGTAACCGACTGTGACAGGCATCGTCAGAGCATGAGACCATGTTTTACGAAAATTCAAGGCAAGGCAGATGGCTGGCCGCAAGTATTTATTTTATATAACCCGAATGTATTCACTTAATGAAAAATCTCATTAATTGTTTAGCTACCTTCATGCATGCAGATAGACGAAGTGGCTACGGTTGTGACCAAATGACCTAATCCTCACCTAAATCACTTGAATTTTTATTCTGCTTTGCTGACGCATGTAATTGCTCTAGTTTGCACGTATGTTTACATGCACTGCTCACGAGTCGTGTGAATTATAAAGGTCCTAACCAGTCTAATTAAGCCTTATCCTCCTGTTCGCCAGAACTTCTTGCTCTCCCTAATCCTATCCAACAGCCGCAAGTAGTTCCCGCTAACTTTCCTGCATTCGTTTATTCGCTTTAGGTTGCCAGCCGTTTTGTTTATTTTAATCAACTCCATAATCTTCCCTATGTTTTATATCCAGACCTTGCTGAGTATTTGGCTCTAGACTGGTCTATATTGTGTCGTGTGTAGGACTATTCATTCAATTTTGATATTTGGACCCAAATCTTTAGACTTATATTAAATC